ACAGTCTAAAAAAACCCCAGCAGAAGTAAGCTTTTGAAGATAAGTGGTTTGCTACTTTTTTTAAACAAAAAAGGTACCGGCAAGATAAAACAGACGAGGTGATTAAAAGGGGACTGGAGATGCACCGCAGGAACTTGTTCGGGCTGTTCTCCCTTGAGCTAGACTGACTAGACCGAGCAATAAGTTCTCACCCTCCTACATGCTGTGTGTGCTGATTTCTCAGTCATGGTGCTCTATAGGTCCACCAAGGGAGCCTCCAAGGCCCGGAGAGACCACATTAACGCAGAGATCAGGAATATGCGGGCCCTCCTGCCCATATCCCAAAAGGAGAAGGATCGCCTGTCATACCTGCACACCATGTCCGCCATCTGCACCTACATAAGGAAATCGGTGTTCTTCCAAGGTAACCCAACCCAATTATCCACTGTTTTCAGTTCCACAATTATCCTTTGCCGGCAATGTCTGAACTTAAAATTGAGCACAAGTTAATTCTCTTTCTTCTTCATCCATGCCAGAGCTACACAGTGAACCTGGAGAGAGCTCCCTTTTCCCATACGAGGATTTTCTGCAAGCTTTGCCTGGGTTTATAGTGGCCACAACGAGTGAGGGAAAACTGATTTACATCTCGGAGAATGTCAGCAAGTTCCTTGGTTTCTCGATGGTAAGTTATTCTCTCCTGCTGTAAGACTTTAAGAGGCTTGATTCTCTTGGATGTTGGTAACAGAACTTCATCAAGCTGTTCTTAAGATGCATTGCTTTGATTTAGTTAAATTTATTTAAACCCATTTTACCTTTCAGCATGACTCCTTTCCGAGTCAGAGTGTGCATCTCTGAACAATATATTGATATATTGATATTTTATATACATTACACATTGTTTTCAGAAATAGTTACTCTTGGAGTTTTATGTTTGGTTACATTTTTTAAAATATATTTTGGCAATTTTGTTGGAAAAGTATTAGTTCAATTGTCTTTTACAGTATTTACTTATTTACTGTGAAAAACATACTGTACTTTAGCAACCAGCATCAGTAGGGCCTGCGTTTGGCCAAGCATTCAGAATGTGTGAAATTAATGATGTTGTTTTATTTAACATTCAGTTACAGCTTACAGGTCACAACATTGTATTTGTTTTAGGTGAAATAAAGAGTAAAATAACTGATAGAAATAGAAATGATTGGATTATTTAAAGTTGCTTGAGAGCCGGTAGCTACAGTACATGTTCGCCCCTGATTTAAAAACCTTCTATGAAAGACGTCTTAATCTTTAGGGAAGTTATTCTGTGCATTACCAGTCAGAAAATACAAAAAAGATTATTTTTTCTTTGTTATTTAGGTGGATTTACTTCAAGGAGACAGTTTCTATGACATAGTCGAAAATGCAGATGTAGAGACGGCAAAAAGTCACCTGCAGACCGGCTCATCATCAGAAACAGGTGAGAGCATTTCTACAGGGGGAAAGAGGGGGTTGTAGTTCAGTGTACAGAAAAGCAAACTGTGCTTTCATTAAAAACATTCAGTTCATGTTTCAAGGCTTTAAATCCGATGCACTCAGAATATGAAAAAAAATGCCCTTTATAATTATTATTCCAATAATAATTAATTAACATAATTAATACTGATTCACTTCAATAATATTCGTGACAGATTAATAGTTAATGGTAATTAATGTTTCCTAAATAAACATTAATGAGAAAATCATTCTCCACTGGGCTTTGTTCTGCTTCTCTAAGACAATGTCTTCTTATCTGAGAGTCCACTCTCACTTGTGAAGCATTTGCTACCGCCTTTGTGGTTCCTTTCGCATGTGACGAGCTGAGAGCCTAGGGCAGTAGGGCAGTAGGCTCGTGTTGGCAGGTTGTCTCATTCCCTCTGTGTGTTTTCTCCTTCTGCTCCCAGAGACTGCATTTGTTTGTCGGATGCACACCTCCAGGGCGTTTCGCCTCCGACACGGGGGCAGCTGCCCCGTGCTGGTCCGGGGGAGGTTTCAGCTGGGCGCCTCCCCTGGCTCGAGCCCGGTTTTCATTGCCCTCTGCTCCCCGGTTGTCAGCTGGCTGCACGACACAGACGCTTGCTGCTTTGTGCCACATTTCCAGTCCCTCCACGGGCTCGACATGGCGTTCACTGAGGTCCCTGACAGGTGAGAGCCGAAAGACATAAAAGCCATCCTGGGATTCTGAATAAGGAAACAAAAATTGGCATTTAAGAGTAGCACCTTTGTCATTCATAACAGCCAAATCTGCCGAATGTGGCTGTCACTATATTGGTGTGAAGGAAAGAAGCACACTCACAGCACACTGACACTGGTGCTGAAAATCGACTTTGTTTCTTGAAAAGTTTTGTGAGGCAGCAAAAAGGCGGAGGCAGCAAAGTTTTTTAAATCTGCCATTATGATGACAATAAAACAATCATTGCTGTTCTAAATAAGATCAATGTGCAGCCTCTCTGATGGTTTCTATGATTCAGTTTTCTTCAGCGTTTTTAAGATGCTTTACTGTTCAGTTAAGCCAAAGTGGCAGCATGGTTTTCAACTCTTACTTTCTTGCTAGTGTGGTGCTCCATCTGGGTTATTCGAACGAGGAAATGATCTGTCGACCGTGGTACAGTCTGCTCCATCCTGATGATCTTGCCTTCGCCGCCGCTCAGCACAAGATTTTGTGTAAGTCTTTACTTACAGTATGAGCATTATTTCTGGAGTATTGTGAAAAATGGGATTTGTTTTTACGTGTAAAGTAGATCCTCATCATTCCTAAAAATCTATTATTTACTGAGAAGGTTCTTCCAATTTTAAGGGCAAGAATGAAAACAAAAATAAACAAAATAGTTCTAAACAAACAGAACTTTCCACTCTTTTCTGACTCTCTAACACATTTATTCTAAAGCAGCAGATATTTGTTAACTTTCTTCCTCTCCGTGGTTTACAGTGAAGGCAGATGATGACATGCCTGTGGAAATGGTTCTGAGAATGCAATGCAAGAATCTCTCTTGGACCTGCTTCTATATTGTGGCTGTCAAGGATTCTCGGAGTCAGTCAGTGTCTTGCACTAACTACATTATCAGGTACCACAAAAAATGTAATTCAGTTGATTTCTGAGATTTTCTTGAAGTATTGACCCATTTTTCAGAGGCATAGCGAAAAACACAGAGGTGCTTTCTATTATCTTGCAGACATTTATGCCATAAATTTGTGGTTAGTGTTCATGTTGCACTATGTGCTTTTCGCTGCTAATGTGCAAGTTTTTGTTTTGGTGCACCTTCAACCTGAACCAGCAGATGCCACTAGAATCCCACACCAGCAAAACTTGAGCACTACAGATGGCACATTCTCTATTCTTAGGCACATTACAATTGTATAAATTCATCCATAAAAAAGAATTAATATACATGTACTTTATATCATTTACAGTGAAACGGAAGCCACTTTCCTTAGTGAACAAATCCACGCTCATGTCAACTGCAGATCAAGAACCTCCAGCCACAGATCCTCAAATCACTATCAGATCAGCCCTGAAGCATCAGACACCAGTCAGAGCTTCACTGACAGCCCGGCGCAGAACCTAAAGAGACAGATGAATGAAGGCAACCCGACCGAAGAGCCAAGGATCAAAACAAGCAGGATTTCAGAGCCCAGCATTTCCCTGTATTATTCTACTTTAAATAACCAGCCTAGTGGAGGCAGCCCTCCACCCGTGTTGAGTGACTGTCTTGAATTACCTTCCACCCCTCCTTACAGCCCAGATTTCCAAGGCTCTCCTATCCTTCAAGAGGAAGCTAGCTCCTCAGCCTTTACCATTTCTGACTTCCTCTTGGAAAGCTACAGCTTCCCAGAGAGCCTGCAGTCACCCACAGCAGAGTCCCTGCCCTACAGCGTCCTTTCTGCACTGCCCAGCCCCCACGCGGCGGCAGAGGCTCTCCCAGGCATTGCGGACGCTGCCATCGGCATCAACAGCTTTGGGGTGGCGTGGGCGATGTCGCCACAGCTTCCGGGTTCCCCTCCCCACGATCTCTCGAGCTGCTCCAGCGATGTGCACCTGGTGCCCGATTGCCTGCAGCTTGAAGATGTCTGTGGAGGTGTGTCAGACTGCAGTTTTCACCCGGACGACTTCGGCATTCCTGAAAGCCTCCCAGCTGGAGTGCCCCCTTACCTTGTGCCTCATGGCTCTGTCAGTAGCGCTGGCCTTCCCACAAGCCTGCCGACTCCCGACGCTTCACCCACCTCGGAGAGCAGCTTTCATTACAGCGAGAAGGAACAGGCCGAAATCAGCATCCTGGCCAGGCAAATCTCTTCGCTTGCCAGCAGCTTTGATACGCGCCAGTCCGTGGACCACGTTCTGAGCGCTCTGCGCCCTTCTGAATCAGAGGCCGTCTTGAGTGAAGAGGTCATCTACGGCATCTTAAAGGAGCTGGATGTGGTTCAGGCAAAAGACTGCCTTCCTCACTGCAGCCCTACCTCTGACAGATGTGCCGAATCTCAGCCCTCTTGTTCAGACTCTGCCTGCGCACTAGAGGGGAGTCAGGACCTCCTGCACAGTAATTCATCGGAGACATCATCTTTTCCACATGTTGCACTTGAAGACAACCTGCCCCTGGATCAGCTCTCCACAGTTCATCCAGCGCTAGACACCTGCATCCGGAGGTCTTCTTGTAACGGATATGCCAATGAGTTGTATCAACTCAATGAATATCTGCACAATAGCCTCCAGCAAGGTAAATTTTAATTCATATGACACCATCAGCACACCACCAGTAAAAGCACTAGCTGTAACCATGCATTTATCTCCAGATCAACATACTTTGTTTTGTTCTCTCGCCATTTTCAAGGGATAATCTGAATCACGTAAAATATCCTTAAGTGCATTTAAAAATCTCACACGAATGGTAATAATCCTTGCAGAATTTAAACAAAAACAACCTCTTTATGGGTTTATACCTCTTTATGCCTAACGGCAGTGTGTTGTGGTGGGAGTAAACACCCAGAAGCTCTGAAGCAAGGCTGTTTTCAGATCACTCTTTTCTAGATGTGGTTAAAATTCCACATTCAAAAATTAAACAGAAACTTTCTGGAGTTTTTTTTTTAACTTAACTGCAGCCACATTGCAAATGATGTTACTTACGGTTACGTAAAAGCTTATTCTTCAAACTTGTATTGCTGTCTGCCATAGCTCAGTATTCATGTTGTTCTTTCTTTTCTCTTGATTCATTTCAGATGGACTTGTTGAAGAATCCATGTACTGAAATAAGTCTGTGACTTACTGTACTTCACCTTGTATGGCATATTGTCATGACAACCTGAAGCTTCTTCACTGGATTCAACAAAGAACTTGAAGGCATTTGTTATGGGGACTTTCTTTGTCTTGTGTCCAAAAGACTGTATCAACAGAGGGGTCCAGTGCCTCAAAAAGCAATTGTTACTTCAAAAAAACAATGACATTTTCCAAAAATGGAACGTCATTTAATTTAAAGATTGTTAAAATGTATATTTGATGGACCAAACTAGTAGGCGTAGCCAAATTTGTATGAGCATTAAGTATTATTTTTTAGATTGTTGATTGTTCACTGTGCTGCACTAGTATTGCTTATAGTGCTCTACAAACATATGGTACTATGTTAAAACAATAATTTGCAAAACCACAAACCACAAATCTCATTGTACACAACACCAGTTACTGAGAGTCTTGCTATATTGCTGTATGCATAACTACTCCTGAGCACTTAATTACATGTGCAGATTTGAGGAAAATGATAAAGGCAGTGAGAAAAGAAAAGCCCATCTGCAGTATTAAACAGTCAATCACCAATATGAAACAAGAATGCAAAACCATCCTTTAACATTTCCTGTTAAGGAAACTGTACTGGTTCTTACCCTTCCAAACTTGTAGACGCGATGTTTCTGGCCTCAAGTGAATGAATATTCACTACAGAATGAGAAGTTGAAGGGCTTCATTAAAAAAACAACAAGTAAAAACAACAAAAAAACTTGTTTACCTCGACTTAAACTGAACTACCTCTGTATGTACCTCTGTGTGGCACATTAAAACCAGTACAGGAGCTTCTTATAGAACATTGTGTATTATACCAGTCTGATTGGCTGGTAAGCTTCTACAAATGTGAGCCCAGTGCTTCTGAATTAGTACAGAACTTAATGTTCAGAGTTAAGTATTGTGAACATACTTGGAGATGTGTGCCTTTTAAAAAGAATTTGTGTTAGAGAAACACCAGCTGTATTACAAAGCATATTAAAAGTGTTGTGCAACATGATACTGAGATGTAATTATTTAAACTCATGGCTGTTTTGCCATTGACAAATTAGTCTTGCTCCTCTGGCAATATTAATGAAGTTATCCTTTCTTGTAGCTAAAAAGTACATTTATTTTGTGCCAAAATGTAACATATGTGTAAATCTGAAAAAATATTTTAGGATTTTATTTTGTATTTTTGTATTGCAAATAAAGTGAAAGATCTAAACTGACTGAATGCACTAGTTTTGAATGGGGATGGATTTTAAGCTCAGTCAAATATTTGTTCCACATTTGTTGTTTGATTTGCCCATGCATACAAGTGTCTGCCATGACTGACAACATATAGACAAGCCAGATTTTACATACTGTGGTATTGCAAACAGTTATAAATCTTCCAATTCAGGGTCATGGGGGAGCCAGAGTCTATCCCAGCAAGCAAGGCAGGATACACCCTGGACAGGACACCAGCCCATTGTAGGGCACATACTCACACCAGGGCCAAACTTCACAGAAGCCAATTAACCTACTGGTATATTTTTGGACTGAAAGATGAAACTGGAGCCCCCAGCAGAAACCCACACGAACAGGGGGAGAACCTACAAACTCCTCACAAGACGGCACCCCAGGTCTTGAATTGAACCGAAGGCCTGAAGGGCTGTGAGGCAGCACTGCTAGCCACTGTGTAACACTGCAGCTCACTTCTGTTTCATATAATGACACAGTAAATTACATTATGATTCAAATAGTTTTTAGACTGTCTAACGCAAGCACTCATTGGCAGGTCCCTTGTTCTACAAAATTATCTTCTCTACTTGCTCACTTTCAGCACTAGACAGCGCCAAACTACTGCACAGTCTTATAAACAACAGCGCCCCCTGCAGCCAGGCCGCTGTATCACCGCCTCCGTCTCAGCACGTTGGTGATAGAAGTGGATTGAAGCGGGGCATCCACGTGCACAGCGAGGGATGAGTTTCTGAGGTTGTCCGGCGTGTTTATTAAAGTAAGCATCTGTCTTTTAATGTTGTGTCTTTAGTGAACAGAAGGAAAACGCGGAGTTTCTGTTACGAAGCGTCAATCCGCTTCGCGGGGAACTCGATGATGTTGAGCTCATGTTGTATGTGTGTGTAAACAAAAGGCCTCAGTCGAGCCGGGGACTGGAGTGAGTTTGCCATCCCGGAAAGCAGCTCATGAGCCTCAGCTTAACACAAGATTTACTCTGCGGTTCCCTGCGGATGTAGTAATAATAAAAGATTTTAAATCAGAAATCAGAATTTCTTGTTTTGCGCAATGTTGTTTATAGTTCACCGGTTTCTCTCTCAATATTTTCCGGATATTCTCGGAAATATTTCACTCCAGTTTTACAGTGAAGAATGCAGAATAGTACAGAAAAGCATTACAGTGTCTTTATTATTATAGTGTTTATAGTGTATTATTGTGTTTACCTTTTAGTGTAGACCTTTATCGGTGTTAGAAATTACTGAGAAATGACTATTGTACCTCCCGGTAGTGACAGCCTCGGTTAAGTTTGGAAAATTACAAGTCTTATACTGTATATACGGAACATACAGTACAGTCATACACTACACTGCTGTAGTTATTATTTGCGTATTGTGGGGAATCTGACAAAAAGTTCTGCTAAAATGCGTATTATTAGGTTGCTGTTACTGCATTTTTTTGCGCAGAACGCTGTAATTTTTAATTTTGCATTGTGTACGAGCTGCATGCATTTGCTATTTTCTGCTAAAGACTGCAAGAGAGTGAAAGTACAGTAGGTTGACGTAAAGCAGCTGCTCGGTGTCTGGATTAGTTTTTTTTTCTCCTTTCAGCTCACGATGGCATCGAAGGCCAAGGGGGGGATTCGGAAAGGTAAAGGCCGGGAGGCAGCGCCGGTGCGCCGGGGTCTGGAGCAGAAAGCCGGGGGCTCCGAGAGCGAGGACTCGGATCAGGAGGAGCTGGAGAGGAACTTCTCTCTGATCAGAAAGCGCTTCGCGGCGCCGGGACCCCAGGGAGCCCCGGACTCCAGCGAGGCAAGAGAGAGGGAAGACTCCGGGGCAGAGGAGGACTCGAGGTGCGGCGGCGAGGGAGGCGAAGACACCGGGGAGAGCGACGCCAGCGACGGGTCCGAGGAGTCCGACTGCGATACTGAAGATGGAGACTCGGGGGATCAGCAGCCTGGCCTGGGAAAATTAAAAAACACTGGTGGGAAAATGGAAACTAGAGAAGAAATCCAGAGAGGTATAGTATTTGGCAGCAGCTTGGAGTGGTGGATGGGGACCGGAGGGTCCTGGGTTCGAATCCCAAGTGGGGAGCAAAATACTTCAGTCTCTTTGCTCCAGTTAAGGCCCGGCTGTATAAACGGGTATCCAGGTTCAAAATTTGTTTGAATTACCTGTTAATTATACAAATTATATAATTATGTTTTTTAATATTATATAAAAAAATCCCAAAAATGGCTATTAAATAGCTTGGTCTTTCCATAATTCTCACCAGGGGTTATCTTTTTAATCTAAATGTATTAACATATCTGTAAAATTGCATGCAGGCAGGCAAGTGTGTTGTTGATATTCCAGTATCCATGCGATTGAAGGTTACTTCTGAATTGTAATGAGATGGCACAGGAAACTCTATTAGGATAATTTTTTTTAATTAAAGATTAAAGTCAGCTGGTAGAAATGTCTTGGCAGTCAGTTTTTTTTTGTGTTGTTCGGTATGTTTACCATTGCAGTGGAAGAAAACCTGTCTGCAGGGAGATTAGGAAAGGTGTTAGTGTCTCACTTGTCAAAACAATAGCAGCGGTTTAGTCTTGCCTGGCAGCATTATCACTAAAATGGAACTTTAAACCTAATCTCATCCCAAGGCCAGAGAAAAAAAAGTGCTGCTCTTGATCCATTTTCCTTCTTAATGCAATAACCCAGACAACAGGGCAGCTGCAGTCCTTGAGAATTGCAAGAGCAGTTTTGATTACTAAATGCTTCGTGAGCAAAAGAAAAGAACATGCAAACCCTAGCTCTTGCATAAAACTATACAAACATCTTTAGCCATGTTTTAATAAGAAAAAGCTAAACATTCCAGGTGAAATGTGTGTCGTTATCAGAATGGCAATAAATATATTTAAATTGATTTTAGGCATTCCCAGTAAGCCTCGCAAGAGTTTGTGATCAGTTAAGGTCCTTATATTGGATCTCCTGCTCTCCTTTTTCATCCACAGGAGTCGGTCTCCCTTTAAAAGCTACATGGCCAGTGAGCGTGGTTATTAGTTTCGACATGATTTTCTAAAGCTGCACAAACAAAACAAAATTACCTGTTGCATTTCAGTGTCAAAAATAAAAAAATGTGGACAATATCTTTTTTTTTTTCACGGTGGTGAAACCGGCAAGCCATACGTATGAAGAGCTTAACTAATCTTTATCACCAAACCCAGGAGAAATGCACTGTTACCAAAGGATGGTCAAACCAGCTGTTGAAAGTGCATAAAGGGGATGTTTCAGATACTGCGCTAAAAGAGAATGCGTTGGATGTGGAGTGTGGTGTATTGTTGTTCTGCTGAAAGATGGCAATTAATAGATTTCTTTTCCTCCTTGGTACAGAACTTTCCGCAATGTCCTTTGAGGAGATAATGCAGCTGCAGAATAAGGTTGGAACTAAAATCTACAATGAAGTGGCTTATGGGTCAAAAAGAAAGCCTTCATCGGAGAAAGGAATGAAGCGCCTGAACAAGAACAGGTAAAAGAATCTTTTTCCTTCTGGTTTTTACTGTTCTGGGAAGGGTTGTGAAATTAGTGGGGAATGTAGGCTTTTCAAAAAGCTTCTCATGAAGGAGGAGCATTGGGGAGCTGTTTATTCATTTATTTTGGATAGACCAGTCTTTATCTTGCGATTATTGGGAGGTTCATTTGCAGCAGAGCGATTATGAAATCCTTCTGTTTGGAATCACGGAAGGCTCCTAATCAAGGCAGGTCCTCCCAGCATTCTCCCTGATAACCAAGCCAGCTTTGCTTTATCCATTTTTAGAAAGATTGCAGTTTCTACTTTCTTTCTTGTCAGGCCCATGGAGATATCAGCCAAGCAGCCTGTTCCTTTTCTCAGGCGGGTGGTGCCAGTCAAAAAACCGGTAAAAAAAAAACCCTCCTCGTAGGAAATTTCAGAATTGAGCTGTGTGTGAAGTCATTGTGTCGTAGTGTCAATTGACTGCCACTGTTATTTGTCCTTTAAAATTTTACCGAATAGATTTCCCTTTTCCCAAGAGGAAATACTGCTTTCCCACCCTGTATAGTTATTTACTGGTGTCCTTTCAATGAGTATCATCTTAAAATGCATGAAAAATCAAACATTTCTCCTTCTGTATTTTTTCTTTTTTTAACCCATGAGTTTGGGGGGCATGTTCTGGTTTTGGAATATATGTTGCAAGTAACTACGATTTATTTTTCCAGGTATTCAGAGATCCTCGTTTTGATGATTTGTCAGGAGAGTACAACCCGGAGGTATTTGAAAAGACTCACAAGTTCATAGGAGACATTAAGAAAAAAGAAAAAGAGGTATGATCATCTTTAGAAATTAAGGCTTATTTGCTGTTGTCATTGTCATAAAATGCAATTAGAACTCATTGTTATAATGTGTGTGTTTGAAAATAGTAGTGAATGCTTTTAAAATTGAATGCTCAGAACAGCCATATTAGACACGGTGTTATAGATGACTTTCTTTACATTGCGGAAAAGTACTTGGCATAGCAATAAGCAGAAAAAAAACTCATTTGAACAGCTAGGAATACATTTTCTTCTTAAAAGGTAATTCTGATGTGTCTATATCTCTAGGAATTGTGTAGCAGTTTGTTACAGGTAATTCACTAGGTGTTTAAGAGTGTATGATGGTGTAAGAAGAATGTATTACCCATGTAGAATGTCAGCTCTGTAAGTAAAGGTTTTCAGTGTTAACAGACTACTTTTTAACACTTTCTAATTGCATTTTAGCTGATCCAGAAAAAGCTGAAGAAAGTTAAAGAGCCAAAGAAAAAAGAGAGACTGCAGCTGCTATTAAAGAGAATGGTAGGTTCTTCTTATCAGTCATTCACGTTTACATCCTCCCTCCTGTTTTCTTTTTAATGGTTCCCAGATGCTGAGATTGTATTGCGGTTGTAAATCTGAGCTCCAGAGAGTTAGTTAACTTTTTGAGAGGGTAGAATAACTGAGTCATTCAGAAGACTTTTTTTAAACTTCTTTTTTTAGTTTTTTTTTACAGAGAAACCCAGGATCTGGTTTTTCCAGCACATGATCCAAAATAGGATCCACAGCACAAATGACTTAGAAAATCACTTTGGTTGATTCTTTGCAGGTTAATCAAGAGGAGGCACAGAAGAGGAAGCAGATTCAGAGAGAGAGGGAACTGGAATTCAAGCGGAAGCAGAGGGAGCTCGTGCAACAGGGCAAGAGGCCCTTCTTCCTGAAGAAATGTATGCTATTATATTTAAAAAAAACATTTAGGACAATTTTACCTTTTATATTAATGGTACTCATGGGCGGCACAGTGGTACAATGGTTACCATTGGTGCCTCGCAGAGCTGGGGGCTCTATTCAGTTCCTTAGGTGCAACATTTGTCGAGTTTGCATGTTCTCCCAGTGTTCATGTGGGGTTCCTCTGGGTGCTCCAGTTTCCCACCACTGTCCGAAGACATACTGAAGTTAGTTAAAGGCTTCTGGGAAAATTGACCCCGGTGTGAGGGTGTGTCCCTTCCAGGCTATATCCTGCCTTGTGCCGGGTGCTTACTGGGATAGGCTCTGGCTCTTCTGCAACCCTGCATCAGTTCGAAAAAGGTTCAATATTTGAAAATAGATGGATGTATAATTCTTGCTCCTGTATGACCTTTGTACCAGCACTGGAGTGAAGGGTGGTTTGCGAAACGCACACAAGAGGTCGCCATTGCTCAGCAAATTAACTATGTGACAGAGCCTCATGCTACTAGGAAGGCTCAGATCTATCTTTGCTCCTGAAGGTGTTTGGTCCTATTTAAAACTGAAGTTCGCTGCCCTTTTCATAAGCGTGTGTAAGTTCTGAAAGATACTGCTCTGGTATTGCCAAGCACAGCGCTGTTCTTTCACGGGATGCCCGATGTGGGTAACACCTGTTTTTCTTTTCTCACAATTTCAACTTCCCTTTTCACAGCTGGCATACGTAAGCTGGAGCTGGCAGAGAAATACAACGAGCTGAAAAAGAGTGGCAAGCTGGAGAGCTTCCTGAGTAAGAAGAGGAAGAGGAATGCCATCAAGGATCGGAAAAAACTGCCATTTCAACAGAAACCCCACGCAAGCTATTAACGAGGCTGATTTCCGATTTGATTGGTCTCTATTGAGGGCCTTGCAGTTAGAGATAGTCCTCCCTTGTGAACCTGTCTTGTCTGCTGGGTTTTGCGCCAGCCACATTCTTGATCAGTGGCTGCTTGGTCTCAGTTTTTCCATTTAGGAAATATTAAATTTGCTTTCTGCTCTTAGCGAGTTGAATGGGATTTGTAATTGATACCATCCCTGTACCGATTTTAGAGTTTCAGATCTGTGCTCACACAGGTGTGCTCCACACAATGTACTGCAGCTCCCTGGACCTTTGTGAAACAGGGGAAAAAACGGATTGCGAGAGTGATACATTGCCATTCCCACCTGTGTCTATCGGAAACCAATGACCAATTAGTGGTGCCACTAACAAGGATATACAAGAAACACCAGACTATAGTCCTGCTTAAAGTAACAGTGACAGTCATTGTAATAGTGAGGATTTAATTTGGATCACCAAAGACCTTTTTTGTACCATTACATATTGTTCTTTTTATTACACGTTTTTGTACTGTTAAAGTGTGATGCTGAATCTTTAAAATAGCTTGGAGAATCAGTGTACTACTGTCAACTTTTGTATTTCCAAAACAGGATTTTAAATTTATAAATCAATTGATTCAAAATAAATGCTTAATGTGTGGTCATGATTGTATTTATGAATGTTATTATTTCAAACATGAATTCAAATTGGAATTGAAAAAAAATGTGCCACACGGGATGATGGTACTTTTTTGTGTACTGTGTTAGAGCAGTGAATGTACAGTACTTAATACACAAATATACACTGACCCAGTTGTGCTGGAGGAGTACTTAAACATCATCCTCTTAATACAGTGTTTATTTTACTGCATTAGTGGAACCCATTCAGAGTATGAAACTGTCATTGCATTGATTAGCATTCCTGTGCAGTATAAATGACTACAAAATAAATCACTGTGTTTAGATCAGACATGAGATTGAGACCTACAGTTGCATGGGACATCAATATACATGCCTCTTCACAGTGCACAATTGATTTTTGGATTTTCAGTTCTTAATGAGGACACCAGGACCCGATAAACCCTTTAATTGGAGTGACTAATCAATTTCTTGCAACAGGTGTTTTTGAGAGGGGCTGTTCCTCAGGTGTGGGACCTGGAACACGAAGAGGTGCTTCTAGAGACAGCATTCGAATGAGGGGCGCGTTAGTTCTGTGCTTATATACGAGGTTAGAGGTAGTCTGTGGATGGTTTTGTTCTTTTTTATTTGTACGTGTCGTATCAAATCCTTTAAAAATGCCGCAAAGAGCGCACAAGAAGAAATTAACACACACACACAAAAAACACTGCCCGTACTTTTTTTTCTTGGTTTAAACTGTATGCGTGCGCTGTTCGTGACTTCAAGTGCTAATTCGGATGTGCTCCGGTACAACCAAGAGAAAAGCGAGGTAAGAACAACCCACTTATCATTGAAAAGACTGTCGGAGGAGCTGGTCACTGCTGCTGTGTAGTGGGGGCAAGGTTTTCAAAGTAATGAAAGTAAACGGTACAAACCAATTCAGACGTGCTGTGCTCAAGAACTGAGCAAGACCATTGCAGTAATTGGTGCAATCGAGTTATTTTTTTAAAAAAATGAGAAATTACGTAAGGTTTGATCTTGGTTTCACACTATGAAATAAAATATTCATGTATTAAAGTTCGCATAACTTTAGAAATTGAACTTTGTAGTGTAGTGCCACTCCAATACCTGAGATCTTCAAAAAAGAGTATTTGGTCTAGGAATACAAATAAACTTGTGCTTTCTCGAGACACTGGTTTATTTGTGACATTAATTGTGCAGTATATGTGCCATAAAGAGTGAAAAATGTATTGGCCTTAACTAAGCTTGTTTTAAAATCTATCACCACCAGAGGGAGCTATTGGTTAGATTTACGGAAACGCACGGCGGTTTTTCGATCCAAACCGTGAAGGTTTGAACCAACTGGAGATTAACTTGACTGTGTTCTGTTCCATTCTCTCGCTATTACTGCACATTTAGGTCTTTGTCTTCTACTGTGCTTTCATAGTAACTTTTGATTGCACTTAATAAATTTCAGTTGCATAAGCAGGAAAATGTGTGGCTAAGAATGAAATAAATGTTGTAAGTCTCCGAAAGCCTGCTTATATTAGAACGGTGCATTTCAATATTTCTGCATTGAAAATACTTGAAATTAATCTGTGGTGCAGACGATTGGTATTTTTTTAACACTTCATTCATTTACTCCATTTTGGATTTTTGAATAGCTTGATTAATCAAAAGTGGAGGACTTTGGATGTCGTGAGATTGATTTGTGAGAAAATCACTTCACCCCTTATCACATTCAAAGCATTAACATTCTTAATATGATGGGGGAGAATAATCAATCGTTTAATTTACGTTTAATGACGGTGCTGTCAAAATGCAGCGTGGTTCTCTGATGGTTTCCGAGTACACGTGTGGGTGTTGGTGCGAGTGCATTTGAGAAGGAATGTTTTCCTGTGATGTGTCTTGTAGCATGGTTGGGACCCTCAAATCTCCTAACCCTGACGGCCTCATTGGGTTAGTTGAGGAATAATTGCCCTTCACTTCTCCAGTCAGTTTTTTAGTAAACTCCGGCTAGTTTTGATGTACAGTAAGTTTGGCTGATCTGCTGGCCATGGCGCTGACATGCCCCCCCGCAAACTAAACCGAAGATGAGCATTTCTCAAAGGGACCTCTCTAGAGACAGCGCTGGTAATTATTTTTTTTCTCTGCACTCTAAATGGGGACCTGTATCGATTTTAAAGTGGCTTTAAATTGCTCGGGTTAACTGTCACGGTGCAGGCTGACTGAGGATGCTGGTTAGTAGTCGTGTTTCAGAGGGATGCTTCTCTACACGCAGGCAAGCTAAAGATGTCTTTTGCCTCGTTAATTGTGATCTCTCTCTCCCTCGTTTATGTGCCAGTCAGGACCTTTGCTGCCAGTTGTTTTATAAAGTCACTGAATTAATTATCAATCAACTTAATAATTAAAGGCCTGGTTGTGCCAGAAAACAGCATGGGAATCGACTGCATAGTCCAGTACTTGGAAACCTAATGCCTTGTAGTTTTATATAAATTGGCATTACACTAGTAATTATTAGACCAAGCGTCTGTATTATTTTTTGAGAGTTGTTCTCTTGTTTTTTATATATATATTTGTTTCATTTAAATAATATAGTTTTAACAATGGCATGCTGCAAATGATCTCAATGTATAAATAGCCCAGAAGGCTTGACATCCGGGAGCTTTAATTAGGAGTTATGATGGTTGAAAAGAGAGGCAGTAAAATAAGGTGTCTGACATATCTTCACTGATAAGCCAGTGGAAGCAGCTGTTACAGGGAAATCTTTCTGCATCACCGCCTGTCACCCAGAGCTGCGATAATTTCCCTAGGGCTCAGTGACGGCCACAATTCAGACAGTGAGGAATCCTTCTTCATGGGATAAAGGAGCAGAATGTTCAGCCTGTTTACATGCAAAGTGCATTAACTCCAGTGGCAGGGCTGTGATGTTGGGTGGAAAGCTGATGGAGAAAATCTTAACCCCAGCTCCCCAGCATGTATACAGTGATGCAAAGTTCGAGACTTTTTCTGCAGGGTGTCTAGATGTGTAATACTCTGTCAAAGACTTAATTGAAAAATGTATGAAATAAAGTTTGTGCAATATTTTTCTTGAAAGATCATGCAATTTGTCCAGTTTACAATAGAAGGTTCGAGGTTGTTAAATTGCTAGGAGGATGGGTATGAGTTTAGTCCTCCATCTTGGTTATGACATGTACTTTCATACTTTTTTCCCCCCACTTAAGAACTTGGGCATGCATCTGTACATTTTGTGCTGTTATTTTTTCTTGTTTTTTGGTTATAGCAAGCACCTTATGCATAATGTACAATAAAAGTAAAAAAAATACTAGTTAGTTATCTGGGAAGTCTATTTTCGTATTTAATATGTAGATATCTTCCATTTACATGGGAAGATTTTTCCAATAGTAATTTTACATTTTGACTTGAAGATGGACATTGCTGTCCTGTTTGCTTTTATAACCACAATCATAATAGAGGCAGGAAAGCGTATTCTTCAGGAAAATGCTGCATCAATTTCATTAAAATGAATGTCATCTGGAAGAGATGTGATCTTTCACAGCCCTCCCCACCTTTAAAGTAAGCCAGATTGATGCTGTGATATTCTGTCCTATGAGCGTTATTTTTCAGATAATTACTTTTTTAGCAAGAGAAAGAACCCGAAATTGATATTGCTGATTTAAGACAATGGGGTCCCATCTGGAAATGCACTACTTTAGTTTATTAGTTGTGCAATTTCTTGCTTGTGCACTAGAGCATACAGGGTTTTTACCAAGTTATTTTTAAAAACTATTGTTTCAAAATGGTTTTCAGAGGAACAGATGCAGGACTGTATTTGTTGCCAGGTTGTGTCTCGGATGCACTTGCCTGCAAAGAACAGGCATCCTTGGTCCAGAAAAAGCATCCAAGATATCCTTATTGTACTGTTCTTGAATGTTCCAGTCCTGCGGTAAAGAAGTTCTTTGGGGTGCAGATTGTTACAGTCCAATCTGCTTGTCAGGTTTATCATTTCTGTGCATGCATTGCATTCCAGAAACTGCACTCATGGCATAACCAGAATGAACAAAGTTCTAAGAAGGCAGATACAACATGTACGTTTTTAAAATAAAAATAAAGCTTCTCATAATCGCTAGCAAATTTACAGCTTTGCATTAAGCCCATATGGAACCAGACACGCTTTCTGCATTGGAAGAAATGTGTTGGAAAGGAAACGAAACAGAAACCTCCTTCTGCCGGAGAAAAATACACAGAAATCTGTTTTTTCAAAAAGTCTTTTTGCAGCTTTGGAGCTGATGGCAGTGTCAATATGCTTTTGGCAAATATCCATCCGGGAAGTAATGATGCAGTTTGCTGAGTAACGGACTCAGTGTTACAAGGGGAGCAGAAGGCTTGCTAGGCCTCTTCTCCAAGAAAAGATCCAGAAAAAGACCTTTTCACGTCCGCATGAACAGACCTGAATACAATCTGCTAGATCAAAGGAGCTAAAGAAAATGATGGCTTCCCAGCATGTTGCTGTGGTGTACATGATTCTCCATAAGGGCAATGATGGGGAGGTATTTACTGGATTACAGCAGCCCAGCATGAATTGTTTTTCAGATCCCTCCCATCCCGAAAGGACTGTAAATCCTGGGATGAAAGTCCAGGTGGAAGCTAAGCCAGCAAAATCCAACCTGGTGTCAAAAAGCTCATAAACTGTAGTGCTAAGGGCCCGTGAAGCCAAACTGCCTACATCAGCAAGAAACTGGAATGTTTTATATTAGGTACAGTGCAGCACTGTATTACAAAATCATCCTATCTAGCTGCTTTTACAAGGAGATAATGCACTCAGGTGGGTGCAGGGGGGTATTCAATCCATTATGGACTAGTTTTGCCGGCTTTGACTGCTTGCACATGAGTATTCATTGAGTATTTGCATCTCGTCAATTACATGTTGTGTATTGTGTGTTTTCAAGCTGACGGTGGTTGAGGTATGCATCTCTGTGTGGATAGGTTTAAATTCTTTAGACCTACTTCAGTGTGTTGCTTCAAATACGCCTGTTAAAACCAGTAA